TATACTATTTTTCTTGATTCTTCTATAGTAGTTGACTATAGTGGTTTTGTATTAATAATTTAAAGAAACGATTAGGTCTCAGTTTTAAAATTGGAGGTACACTGAACAGTCTTCTTCATAAAGTCTGAGAGGCAGAATACTGGCTATGATCTTCAAATATGTGGTCAAAATTCTAGGGTCTGGTTGTCCTACCTGTGATGTTTGGGGCGCATCTCTTTCCACCATCAGTTGCTGGCTTTGACCTCTATTGTATGGTTAGTTTGAATTTCAGTTTCTATTCAAGATGGGTCAGGACAAGTTTGAGCCATCAGAGAGTTCCATTGTGTTCTTCAACAATGCAGAATATCCTAATATCCCAGAGATTGGAAAGGGAAAGACAGATTTCTTGGATACCATATAATAAGCTTTTAATCTTATTTAACCCCATATCTAGGCATTTCTAGAGTCACTCTGGGTCAAGTATATTTTCTGATCACTGTGTGTGTGACCTTTCATAACATCCAAAACATGCTTAAAGCACATTGATCATATGAGTTAAGAAGCAGGACCAGCAGATATTTTCAACGTCAAGTGTGTTTTCCTTGACCATCTTTGATCTAATGTTTTCTTCTTGGGTGTATTTGCTCTTCAAGAAGCCAGATCCCTCCCCTTCCTTGCCCCATTCATTTGCTTCCTCCTCCTCCTCCTCCTCCTCCTCCTCCTCCTCCTCTTCTTCTTCTTCTTCTTCTTCTTCTTCTTCTTCTTCGCTGTTGTTTTTTTCTTATTTAGACTGTCATATAGAGACAGGCTTAGCAGCTTTGTTGAGATACGACACTGACCCTTTGAAATGTGTACTCCTGTGTTTTTTAAGTCTACTCAGGTATAGCCATCACCACAGCGTGGGGAACAGAGAGCACCAGATGGTGCTACTTGCCAAAAAGATCCCGGTTCCAATTTTGTGGCCACTCTGTTTGGTCCCTAACACTTTCCCCCCCCTACCCATGAGACAGAGCTTCCCTGGGAGGAGTGTTTTAAGACTTAAATGATGCTTTGTGTAACAAGTACATGATATAGTGTCTCCTTCTCTATGGCCTCACTTTTTCCAGGTTTCAGTTACCCATGGTCAGCTATGGCTCCAAATTATGAAATGGAAAATTTTGGACGTGAACGACTCATGGATTTAAAATTTCATTACAGCGCATTGTGATAGTTGTTGAATTTTATGAATTAGGAATTGCTAGTTTCTAACTGTGCCAAATTTATAAATTAAACTGTCATATGTATATGAGGACCCAGAGAACAGACAGGGTTTGGTATGACTAGTGGTTTTAAGCATCCCTAAGAGTTTTAGAATATATTCGTAGGATAAGGGGAGAACCAGCCTAGAGACAAGGCAGTTAATCCCCAGTCCTTTAGCCATTCATCATACAGAAGGGGGCAGGGTCAGAGAGAACTCTGAGCTGTCATCTTCTTCATTCACTTTCCCCTTCCTCATGGGGCAGAAAAGTGTACCTTGCCCTGTATATTTATTTGCGTGGACTCTATCTTTCCTTCTTTTCTTTTTTTTTCCTCTGGTCATCAGTAGGTTCTTGCCCCAAAGTAGCTCTTTCTGGAAGGCTCTCAACTTTTGCCTTCTTTTATTTTTCCCAGTCATAGAACATTGGTGTTGCAATGAACTCCAGAATAATCCAGTTAGATGTTTCATTTAACAGTCGCAGAGACTGAGGCCCAGAGAAAGGTGACAGTTTGGTCACATGGTGAAGACTAGTTAGATTTCAGTGCATATTTGTTAGAGTGAAGCAAAGCCTTCTGGGACATGACACTGCCTCAATGACCCAGGAATCTGGATCTGGCTGGAACGCCAGGGTCTGGAGTTCAGTTGTTGAGCCCACATCTCCATACCTCTTCATCCTAAAGCAAGGCTACCCCTACTGTTGTTTGGTCTCACTTGTTAGGAATGCAGTCAGAAGACTGGCAACCTGCAGCACGCTAAGTGGTTATAATGTTCACATAGTCACTATTGTTTGGAAAAAGTGGAAATCACTCCCATCCTAGGGAGAATCGGCGCATTTGGTCTGAATCTTGGAATTCTTTTGGGTTTTCTGTTTTTGAATAGAGAGGGCTGACATTCTCCAGGCACCTCTGGTTTTGGAGGACTCGAGACACAAGGGATTCTGAGGGAATTTGTTCCTTTGCAAGTTACTCTGTGGCTAACATATTATGTGGATAGTGAAGAGTTTTGTACCAAGTAGTTTCGAAAGGTCTGTGTGTGTGTGTGTGTGTGTGTGTGTGTGTGTGTGTGTGAAGACATCAGTAAAATACTGAGAGAGATTTGACAATATCTGTAAGCTCTAGAATTTCTCTTAATTAATTTTTAAATTCACATGTAAAAAATGCCCACAGAAGTACATCTAATGTTATCCATTATAGCAGTTATATATTTAATAATGTAGCATTCCCCCTCTCTCCCTACTTGTCTTCTCCACTGTTCCTTTCCCCTTTGTGAGCCAGATGCTAAATCCTTGGTATGCAGGGGTCTGAAGTATAAGGCTACAAACTCAGCCGTAGGACAAGCAAGAGGATCAAAATTGGGTGTTTTCCATCCAAAGAACTGTTTAGGGTCCTAATTTAAAATGAATAAAGCCTTTCACCAGGCTGCATGTTTCCCTAAATCAATTGGATTTTATGTAAACATTTATCTCTTTCACACTTTTCCACCTACCACACCATTCTCGTAGTAATGGCTCAGTGAACATTGATGCTTTCACCAGATCCCTTTTTGGAACAGGAGTGGGGGAGGAGAGGGGAAGTGCGTGCAGGGCACACAGAATGCATTATCTGGAGCCCAGTTGTTGAAAAGCAAAACTTCAGAAAAAAAAATCAAGGAGCAAATGAGAAGATGCACTCAACCTGGCTTTGGCAGAGGGCAAAGATGCAGACGCCTGTGGGCAGGTGTGCACTGGGGAGCAAATACCATGTGGGGTGGGGATTCTAATTTGGAAAGAGGCTCCATTGAGCAAGGCAAGTTTGTAGTAGATCCTTAGAGCAGTTGAAGGGTTTGCAAGTGGTCATAGCTGATGAGTGCACAAATATAGACACATTTCTCCACCCAGAAAGAAAATGCTTGCTTCTGTTCAGTCCAGACTTAAACAAAAGCTGTTCTCCTTCTGAGCCCACCCAAGTTAGCACAGGCAGGCATTCCCTGCACTTCGGAAATCTGTGGCAGGTTTTAAGCTTGCCATACTGTGCACAGTGCTTGCACACTCATTACTTTGCCTGGTCCTCAGGAGAGTTTTGATCAAGACCCCCACACCTCCATGGCACCAAAAGCCATCCCTGACCTCCCATACACCCCCATACAAGATGGCCCCAGAGACAAACCCAAACCAGATGTTAAATAATGGAAAAATATTTAGCCGTCATTTCCAACCTTATGCATATATAGGGTTGGAGAGCGTGTTGCCAAATGTTTCAGCAAACAAAGATTAAGAGTCTCAGAAACAAGAGAGACCAATTCTTCCCTTCTTTCTGTTACTGCTTATTGACATCTTCTTATTGGTTTATTTGTGTGTGTGTGTGTGTGTGTGTGTGTGTGTGTGTGTGGGTGTGTGTGTGTGTGTGTGTGTGTGGGTGTGTGTGTGTGTGTGTGTGTGTGGGTGTGTGTGTGTGTGTGTGTGTGTGGGTGTGTGTGTGTGTGTGTGTGTGTGGGTGTGTGTGTGTGTGTGTGTGTGTGGGTGTGTGTGTGTGTGTGTGTGTGTGGGTGTGTGTGTGTGTGTGTGTGTGTGGGTGTGTGTGTGTGTGTGTGTGTGTGTGTGTGTATGTGTGTGTGAAACATACAGTTAATTGGAATGCTTTCAAATTCTTTTGTGTGGTTGTTGTAAAAAAATAAAAATAAAAAATAAAAATAAGCAGAAGGTCATGTTGAGATCATCTACCAACCAGTGCTTTTAAAATAGAATTTTCTTAAGACTGGTTGATTTCTACTTATTTTTGTTGGTAAATCCTGGGGAAAATGTATATCTTTTCCTTTAAAGTTCTAATTCAAGGCGTAGATGCGAGAGTTCTGAAGGGACCTTGGGACTGCGGTAAAATTTCGTTGTCATAGTAACAGAAAGGGAAATAGGCTTAGCTCACCTGGGACTTCAACACTGCAAAAGCTGGATTTTTTTTTTTTTTAAGGAAAAGGACTCTGCAAGTGAAATAAATGAAAAACTTATTGTATTTTGAAACAAAATTTAAAAATAAGAATGAGTCAAATTGCTGCAAAGGTTCCTTTTGTCATTTTTCTTGGCTGGCTCAACTGTCAGATTCAAGCTGCCCAGTTTGAAAGGACACAGATCATTTAAGGGACTATGGGCTTCAAAAAAGAAAAATCATGTCTTACAAACAATAACCACAGATCATGATTTGTGTTTCTCTGTATTGTCTCTAGAGGGACCAAGAGGTCGTTCCTATTTGCTATTAATCATAAATGCCTGGGGTATCCTTGCCTAGTGGACTTGGGCTTTAGATAATTATATACTATTTTATGATTTTTGCACATGTGGGAAACTCTGAGACCACCTTCAGATGTGAGCATGAAGGTATTGTATGGCCTGTGGGAGGCACAGACCTGAGGAGTCCTAGGTTCTGGGCCGTGTCCTGTCGATTTTAACCCGGGAGCAATACTTTCTGTACAGCAGAGGTCACTGCTGCATTTGGAGCCCTCTTTTGCAGACTAAAGGCTGCACAGATTTCAGGCGGGTGGGTGTGCAGACCAGAGTCCAGATTGTGAACCGCTTAACAATCCCCCACCGTGATGGAGAGAGGGGGCTCGGAGCTTGCCATTGAAAGCATCCAAATTTGCAAATTGCAGAGGGTCAGCAGTGTTCCTCTCCCAGGCACGGCTGCTTGAAATTCCCCAGACCTGAAACACAATCGCCTATTTTTTTCTCAAATCAAATCTAATAGAACACAGATAGAGCTTCTCGTTAAAACATGTTTACTGGGGAAAAAAGTAACACATTGCTTTCTTTTCACAGATTCTTTTTAAAATTTTTCCTGAAGTGCAATCAGAATTGTTTGAAAACAGCAGGAAACCCAAGGGACATGAGACGGTTCCAGGTAAGGGTCCCCGAGGATCACACCTATTAAATAAGTCACCCTGTTTTCTCTCTCTTGCTCCCTCAGTTTCTTCTCAGATCAGTCTCTCACTGATAGTGCTAGCCATACAGAAGATAACATCAGTGATAACCTCCCTCTACCTGGATGGAGGCCTTTTTCATTTTGTAGTGTTTAGGCTCTCTGCCTCTACTGGCAGAGCCTCACGGGAGAGGCACCAGCCTGGGATGGAGATTTGCTTCCAGCCCTCAGGCTGCCCCTTGCACTCACAGCTGCCCACATCAGGGGCCATGTTCTTGATACCCAGCCACCTTGGGAGATTTCAAAGCTGCTTCTCTGTATATTTTCTGTAAGCAACAGCCCCTGTCTTCCTTTCCCACCAGTTAACTATTCGGTGGACTTTTAGCCTTTTGGAAGGTAGCAATCCAAGCAGCCATGGTCACTTTAAGACCGCAACATGACAACAAGACCCAGGGGACAGTGACCCAGCTGCCTGACAGTGAAATCTGCCACCGATTTCATCACCCCTGCCATTGATGTGCTGTGGAGACAGCTAATAAACAGAGCTAGAGCAAAGTGTTGGGTTGGAGTTGGGAGTAAGTACAGCTAGCTGCTAGGCTCCCTTCCCAATGATCTGAAGGACTGTATTTAACAAATGGTTTTCTGCCATCCATACTTGACCTGAGTATGTGGAGCTCTGTTCCCCATAGAGAATAAAAATATATTAAACTGTGGCATCGAAGCTCAAGACTCAACAAGGTGAAAAATGGGGCTGGCTAGCCCTTGTGCTTCAAATATGGGACGGTTCTAGAAGATGAGGCAACTTGATCTTGCTCGTAGAAAGATGTCAGAACCAGGGGGATTGGTCACAGATCTCCTAGGTCATGGGTGTACAAGTGTCCAGACTGCTGGGTTTGTGTTTTTCTGTGGACTTGAAATGGGCAATCATTTTTTTTTCTGTACTAGACCCCACAAGTTACGTGTCTTTTCCTGTCTGTCCATTGCTCAGTGTCTATAGTGAAGCCAAATGTCAAAAAGGTGCTTGGGAACAGAACCACTGAAGAACTAATAGGGGTTTGGGTTGTAGCTAAGGGACAGAGTGCTTGCCTGCCTTGGGGAGCTCTGGGCCTAACCCCCCAGTGCTGAAAAGAGAAGAAAGCAAACAGGAGAGAAAGGAAGGGGGAGGGAGGAGAGAAAGATGAAGGGAAAGAAAAGAGAAAAGGAAAAGAATTAGCAGGCATGATGGGCATTCATGAGGCCAGTGCAAATTGCTTTGAAAATCAGCCTTGCATTTATTATTTTCCAAACCGCACCATGGTCATCCATGCTCTTGCTATGACCAACACAACTTTTGGTTGTAATTATAATATTTAATGCTATCATCAAACTCCCTTTAAAAAGTTGGTGTTCTTTACTTCATCACTGAGAGTCTTCTTCAGGTTCGTAAGAAGACAGATGAAAATGCAGTTAGTCTTCTTGAGAACCTACAGGAAGGTCACACACAATGGAAGTTTACTATACCCAGAGTTCCAAGTATTACTAATAGTTAATGTTTTCTTTTGCTAAAGAAGAGTGAATATTACCAGAATCTCAAATTGCCACTAGGTGCAAATGTTTGCTTTGTTTCTAGAAGAAACACAGCCGAGGGAAAAGAAGCAGGCAGCTTGGCTTAGGGTATTTTACTCTACTGCATTGGCACGGTTTTTAATTTTCAGGTCCTCTAAGAAATGTGATGGGTGTCCATTGGAATGCCCCGACTTTTCAATCCCACCTCTCTCCCTACTTTAGAATATATTTGTGAGGCAAACTCACACCACCATTACTTGTTTCTTCAGGTCTGTGATGTGAGGGTTACTTTGTCTTTGTGCTTAACTGGCTTCGAGTTAATATTGCTGACATCAGAGTCACCAGGAAGCCTCAGCCTATGTGAGCATTGCTCAGCTTCTTCATAGCCAAGCGGTCTACAAAAAAGCTTACAAATTCTGGGACCTTGTTATTTCCAGGGCCAACCTAACATCCCTTGCCAATTTTGTTCCACATTTTTTATTTAAGCAGCACACACATTGCCATCCTAAGTACTTTAGTGTATGCATGCCAGTGGCTTTAACACACTGACAGTGTTGTGATTGTCAAGTGATTATCAGTGACTAATACCACTAACTCCAGAACATTCTCATCACTTCGAAAATTATCCTATGCTTCCTAAATCCCATTTCTTCTCAGTTACCTGCAACTACTAACCTACTTGTTGCCTTTGGGTTTGTCCTGGAAATATTGTCTCTGAACATTTCAGGTGTCTTTCACATAGCATAGTGTTTTCAAGGACTGCAAGGTAGCAATGCTTCCTTTTGTACAGCTGAATACTATTCCATTGTCTGTGTAGACAGCTTGCCCATTATTTGGTTAAGTGACATTTGTGTTTTGTGCCTTTAACGCTTCTGTGATATTGAGTTGTTTTTGGAACATATGTTTTCAGTTCTCTTGGGGACAGAGCTAGGAGTAGCATTTCTGGATCACAGGGTAACTCTATCTTTAACTTTTTGAGAAACTGCCAAATTCTTTTTCACAGTGGCTGCACCAGTTTGGATTCCTACCAGTCATGTGTGAAGACACCCGTTTCTGTAATTCCTCATGGCTTTATATTTTTAAAGATTTATTTTATTCATAATTGTCTGTGTGTGAATGCAAGTGTGGTGCTTGCTGAGGCCAGAAGAGGTTGTTGGCTCACCTGAAACTGGAGTAACAGGCACCCGTGAGCCACCCAACCTGGGTACTGGGAACTGAACTTGGTTCTCTGCAAGAGTAGCATGTGCTCTAACTGCCAAGCCATCTCTCCAGACCCCTGTTTTATTTTTAAATGACTCACTCTACAGCACTAGGGTGGGATCTCATTGCTGTTTGAATCTGTCAGTCCCTCATGACGGAGGAAGAAAGTGATGCCAACCACCTTCCGTATACTTACCACCTACTTGTTCATCTCCTTTGGAAGATGCCCGCTTAAGTCCTTTGCTCGTTTTGAAATTGGGTCTTTATTTTTTTAAATTGTTGAGTTGCAAGAATTCATTATGTACCTGAGATACTGGGACCTCATTAGATGTGTGACCTGGCAATTTTAGAATCTACTTGTATGCCATGAAGAAAATAGCAATCAATGAAAGCTTTTAGGTAGGGGAGGTTTTTATGAAGAAAAGCTTGCCTGTGTGCTGCCATGGTCAACTAAGAAACCTGGATCAAATTTCAACTGTGACACAAAGCCAGAGATGTGGCAGTGGGAGCATCATCTCCAGAGAAGGGACTGGATTACATGTGTCATACAGATTGATGAGGTGGCAGGTCTTTGCCTCATAGTAAAGTAACTTCTGCTAGTGATCAGACACATATTCAATTGAAGAGTGCTTTTGTGCAAATTTGAACAGAACACAAGCATATCTAACAAAGCCATGAACTAACTAAATACTTTCTCCTCTTTCATCATTGGTAGGTCCTAGAATCTCTACTCCCCTTCCTGGGCAAACCACTGACAGACTAGATCATTGTATGAAATGTATTTCTGTGATGGAACCCATCTCTTCTTCAGTTCTGTTCAAATCCTAAGTACTGTAGGAAATGTAATTAACTGATGACAACTATCTGTGGAAATATATGGGTCTTGACCCTTTCTTGTCTCCCATGTCTTTGAGAACCTGATAAAGGCTGTAGCCTTTGTGCAAACATGAAACTACATTTACACAAAGTCCTTAACATCTCATAGATTCTTCAGAATGGATCCTGGGGTTCCACGGGATCCTGATCTAAAGAAATAAGATCCATCTAGAACCACACAACATCTTCAGTGTAAATTAGCCCCTGATTAAAGCACTCTGTCCACACAAAGCCTGCCTCAACCTCCCAGCCATTCTCTTGGCTATAAATAGCATCTGTTCCCAGGTGACTCCTGGCTCTACAATCCCAGACTTCATCCTCTATGGATCTATAGATGAAGCTTTAACTGTCCTCCTGGGTATCTTCCCTTTGATGACTAATTAGTGTATGTTCAAACAGAGCTCAGCATATATCCTGATTCATCTCCTCCTCTTTCATTGGTAAAGTGTCACCCCCTTCTCCTGTCTGGCAAACCCCTCTCTCCTGTGATGGGTCCCTCTACTCTTTCCTTGTCCAATCCCCTCTCAGCTCTAATGACAAGTGATTTATTAAAACATTGCATGGTTACCTAATGACTATCAGCACAAAACTCAGATCCCAAAGGCTGATCAGATACCCCCCTTCGGTATTTTCACTTCAGACAAATCTTCCACTCCACTCACTCAGGAAGCTCCCATCTGTTGTCCACAGTTCACAGCTCACTGCTGTCATGTCCATCTTGGCATCTTCTCCCATGCTCACTCGTCTAAGAACCCTTCACTACTTTCTTTCTTTCTTTCTTTCTTTCTTTCTTTCTTTCTTTCTTTCTTTCCTTTCTTCCTTCCTTTCTTTCTTCCTTTTCTTGTTTTTCAAGACAGGGTTTCCCTGTGTAGCTTTGGAGCCTATCCTGGCACTCGCTCTGGAGACCAGGCTGGCCTTGAACTCACAGAGATCCACCTGCCTCTGCCTCCTGAGTGCTGGGATTAAAGGCTTGCGCCACCAACGCCCGGCCCCCTTCACTGCTTTCTAACTGCTGACTCATCCTTCAGGACCACAAGTGCATATCGCCTTCTTGGTGGGGGTGGCATCTTCTGACTCCCCAGAGTTATGGGTTCCTTGGCCAATGGCACCGTTCTCCACCACCTCTGACTGTTGCCACATTTCCTGATAACTAGTATCTGTCTTTCCAACATATGCTGCTTGAATGTAGTTTGTATGCTTTGGTTATTTTCTTTTTAATTCTCCTGCATACATATCAGGCACTCTGTATGGCTCAACACACTGCTAGTCACTGAATTTTTAAGAGAAAAAGAAAAGGTGGAGAAGAGACAATTTAGGATTTCCAGGGACCCCCCTGAAGAAAGGCAGAACACCAATGTCCA